TACATACATACATACATAGAGACTTTCTGCTTTATTATATAGAAGATGTTATGTTATGTTTGAGCTACCCCCTCAACTTGCAGTGAGACCTATGAGAGATTTGACAGCGAAAGACATTTTTTAAAAGCGATCATATTTTGGTGCCCTCTTTCTTCCTTAAGAAAGAAAAAGCAGATTTTTTTTCAAATGTCGTCATCATTCTTCCTCCAAATTATCGCTATACAAATTAAGGTACCTGTATAAACATTGAACGGCAAGTCGGCTCCAGGTTTGAGGAGTCATAAGTTCTCTGGGGCAATTAATCTGAAACAGAGCGCAAAACTTGATTCTAGCTGATTGCCGTAATCATATATACAAAGGCGAGACGGATATGTTTCTGGATGCCTTTCACCAGCGAGCGTTTGTTAGCAATGAAGCAGTTGTGCTCTGGTAAATTATAGGACCCGCCAGCTAGTGATCCTGCTTCATTTCCAACATTCCGCTTCTGAGTGAGATGTGTTTAAAACGAATCTATGAAATATACCTTAAGAGACTTCAGATTTTCACCCAGCAACGTCATTACCATGTAGCAGTATTTCTTGTGTTTTGCTGCATGAAAGACATTAGGGATATGAGGTTTTTCTCCATCCTCTGTCATTGCACGAAGTATAGCTATCTGAAAGAGATGTTTGAACTTACACTAAATACCTAGCACACATTACCATTTACCTCAAGTTTAATAGCTGAGCCACCTTCGACGTCGTTTGGCTCAGCTTTAAGAGCAGCTACCTGTCCCCTATGTCGTACATTTTCTACCTGAAGCATGCCAACATTTCATAACACTTCTTTTCGCTTGAAGCTTTTCGAAGTAATAGTATATCATTTTAGAAAATTACAGTCCATTGTAAACTATGTCATCAAGTGGTCACAAAACGGAGATGTTGCAACAACGGCAAAAAGGTAATTTTGAATCATCCTGACCCCTGCGATGGTTTACCGTCTCATCGGGCGGGGGAGGGAGATTCTGGGTGTCGAACTGCGAAGCAAAGCGGAGGTTCATTCTCCAGCATGGTCTCCCAAGCTGAAGGAGTACGACGTTTCCGGCTCCCCGATGCCCAGCTAAGAGTAGGCCAAAGCCTCACCGTCTGGCTGATTGAGTCGCTATGTGGTTCCGTGATCCGCATGGGTCATTGCCTGTGGTGAAAGCTCGGCAGGCCCTGGCAAAACTGCTAATTGGGGAAAAGTTTCATTACCCGTACAGCATGTAAGAGAAAAAGAAGCCCAATTGGATCACATCTACGGTGTCGGACGTCATCAAGACCGCTGTCAGGTTGGACAGAACGCCATGGATTTCGGACCAAAAGGGGACGTCAACGCTCGCAGTGGAGATTATCTCGTGCTGTGCATTTACAACGCCAGGAAGCCTCCACCAACGCCGATCTTCACGTTCTTCTCGAAGCTGCAGGGCGCATCAGCTATACGTAATCGCCTGGCAGGAAGCAGAGTCAAGGAAGACGGACGCGAGGAAACTGAGTGATGGCACACTCATCATTCGTGGTGAGAAAGTTCCATCACGGAACGTCGGAGGCGTTGGATTTGTCACCCGTCTGTTGTCAAATTGTCGATTCGCATGAGATCCTATCATCTCGCCTGGATATCCTTCGACTCTCTCTGCATCAAAAAACCATTGCTATCATCAACTGCTATTCTGCAACATCAGCAGCTATTGAATCGGAACTTGATGCATTTATGAGGATTTGGAGGAAGTCATCCGCGAAGAGTTCTCCTACAAATTTGTTATGGGTGACTTCAATGCGAAAATCGGGATGTCACAAAAAGGACAGCATAGGATCGGGAGATTTGTATCAGAACTCCGGAATGAGAATGGTAACCGCCTTGTTGGGCTTTTATCCGCCGCACGACTTCTTCACGGCAACACCATTACGAGGAAAGAACACCGACGATGGACATAAGAGTTATCTAACGGTATGACTTATGCGGAGATCGACTACATTCTCACCAAAAAGGTGGTGCTTACTAGACGTCTCAGTGGTACCATCCTTCAGCAGTGGTTCAGATCACCGCCTCCTTCGA